AACTACTGAAAATTACTGTTTTAATACTAAACACAATTCTTGCTAAAGGCAGGTAATTGCATATAGTTCGAGGGAAATTAAGAAAGTAAACTCAATGTAAGAATGGGTTAACATATACATACAGAATAATTGTAAAGTAAAAATGTTAAAGAAACATAAAACAATGTTTCATAAATATTGATGGATCATGATAATAACTTCAGAACAGACAGACAAAGTGAAAATATAAATAATGTCTCGTTTGCCATTCTTCTATAGATATCAAAAGCATCGCTTTATTTTCGTAAGTTACTAGTAGAAGTCGAGAGGTAAGTATAATAATATTCCATGATATCAGGGCAAAACCGAAAAATACTTGCAGAAAATATGCATGAAATTAATGATTCCTTAAAATATTGGTAGTAAAGGATAACACTGTGGGAACAGAAGCCTTTTTTTATTTCAATCTAGATATCATTGGGATTGACTAATAGCATGTACGACTTGACAGACATACTTTAGTTATTCTAATATGAGAGTATCTAGAGCTGGCAGCTGTAGAAAATTACAAATCTAGGCTATCTAGGGTAGCTAACTCAGCGCCGCAACGACGGACCGACACGCCGACGTTTGGATGTCAGCCCGTTGACTGTTTGTCCTGTAGATGTGCACATAATTTGATGGTAGCGTCCGGAGAAAAGTATCAGACTGAGGGAAAACGTCTGTTCATGTTGTGTGGATAGTTTCATAGGTTTACGCATTTTTATACAACTAATAATTATCTGGGTGTTAAAACTGTGTGAAAAAACTAGACAAATGTTTCGTGACGTGTGGCTCAGCCAATTTATGCCAACAGTTTCAAGGGAACGAGCTATTTCAGCTTCGGAAAGGTCACGTACTTTACTTTCTGGGCCATTTCATCACTGCTGTTCAGACGTCTCTCTCTGTCTCTCGCTATATATATATATATATACTGCAAGAAATACTTTTGTACAGTAAGCTGTATGAAACAGATCAAAGTAACGTATGAAAACTACTGATCTGTATCAGGAAGAAGTACGAAAATATATTCACAATTTTAAATATAAAATTTATCACTGAATCTATTCTGAACAATATTCACAAGTCAAACCGCCTATTGGCGTTTTTCTTAAGGTATAATTTGATGTGTTAAATTTAATGATTTCCTTTTAGTAAATAACAATAAAGTAGGGATACGAATCAACTGAAGTAAATTAGTTTAGACTTTGTGTATGCGTTTTCGGAAAATAAAAATAATGGCTAGTTTAAACTAACAATGAATGTATATTCTATAAACCAATGTGATAAGCAAATTTTCGTTTATCACAAATTACGTCTTTATATGTTAATTATTTGTGTTAAATTGGGAGCAATGATTTTCGAATGCATATATATATATACATATGTATA